ATGGCCATTCGGGGGTGACTCTGCAGTCAGTACGTCGTTGGCCCGGGGTAATTGAATGTGGTTTTTCTTGGGAAAATAGTCAAAAATACTTAAATAGAATTTACAATGGATCTTTGCTTCACTGGAGAGGAGACATTTCTTTCTATGTAAAAGCTTTATTTCTAAGGGAAGGGTTCACATGGAAAGCTACAAAACAAAAGAGATATCTAGACCTACATTTTCACATCTTTACAGCTACAGACACATGGTCACGCAACAATGGAGATTTGTCTTCTTCCCTGACCCCTAGAAGGAAGTCACCTGATTGCATTAACCAATCCATGTTAGTAAACACACTTAGATTTCCCGGGCTATCTTTGCATTGGCTCTGAGCCAGGTTTCCTTCTGGGTCAGGATAAACAATAGCACAGAAGGTACAGAAACAGATTAACCCTATAATGACTGGAATCTAGACCTTGCAAGTCACACATTTCCAACAGTTTTGAGCCACATCTCTTTCTGTTCCAGTGTGGGTTTGGCAAAACAACTGAGTGAATGCTAGATGCAGAATGGGCCATATTGCAGAAAATCCCTCCAACATCTCCCTTAGCTTCTTACTCCATGCTTTCCTCCCAGCCTCTGATTTGGTCTCACGCTCCTCTATGCTGGAGCTTTCAGGACTCAGCTGTTCCTCTGGGACTTCCATAGAGATGCTTTAGTCTTTGCTCTGTGACCAGTCTTGAACTGTTGCCTATCGTTCTTAAGAATTAGTCTTCTCTGTCTTATGGCTTCCTGCAGGGGTTGATGGGAATGGTAGTTCCAGAGGCCTCCAAATTCAAATCAAGTCTCAGAAAGCACACACCATCAGAAAGTTACTAGTCAGTTGCTGATATGATATGAACTGGAGAAAGCTGCACTGGATCCTAGGCAATGCTCCCTCTAAGCTGTGGAGTCTTGTGATCAAAAATTCTACTTTGTGAGCTACTGGCATTAAAGTTGAGAGTAAGTGATGTGGCTATGCCATAAATTAGTTTGCTCTGGAGCCATCCTTCCTGAGCTAAGACAAAAATGTGTGAGCTGGAGGCTAAAAAAACTGTGAGCTAGCTCACACTAACTCATCTTAGAGGGAACACTGATCCTAGGTCTTTTTTGTAGAAAAAGAGCTAGGGGAACTCATTAGCATAACTCATTAGCATATGCCACACCCCCTGACATCACCAGAAGTGTGTCATAAGGCCACACACCCTGCCCCCAACGGTCCCGGCTGGCACCGCCGCCGGCCTTGCAGCTCCACTGCCGAGCCCCATGAGGGGCCCGGCAGTGGACCTGCAGGCCGGCAGGAGTGCAAGGAAGCCCCGCGAAGGCCCTCCCTGGCTCCAGGAAGGCAGGGGTGGGGAGAGGCAGGGAGGAAACAACTTACCCTCCCTCTTCTCCTGCCTCCTCCTGGCTGAATGAGGGCCGGAAACGGGGCGGCCGGAAGCAGGGGGCGGGGCTTTGTCATATGCCCCGCCCCCGTACCTCACCCGGGGGAACTGCGATCCCCCCCGATCCCCCCCGAAATGACCTCTGCTTCTTGGTCTGACAGATTTATTTATTTATTAGTTCCATTTGTATCCCGCCCTCTTTGCGAACAGGCTCAGGGCGGCTTACATTAATTGGTACAAAGTACCTTAAAATCCACATAAAACATTTTAAACATTTTAAAACAATCAATCACACCCAAAGAGTTCTTGTTAATGGCTCCTCATCCTCTTGAAGAGGAGTGACAAATGGAGTGCCTCAAGGATCTGTCTTGGGACCTGTTTTGTTCAACATCTTTATCAATGATTTGGATGAAGGAATAGAGGGAATGCTTATAAAATTTGTAGATGATACTAATTTGGGAAGGGTAGCAAATACAATAGGATACAGAGTCAGGATACAGGATGATCTTTACAGGCTGGAAAACTGTGCTAAAACAAATAAAATGAATTTCAATGGGGATAAATATAAAGTTCTGCATTTAGGTAGGAAAAATCAAATGCATAATTATAGGATGGGGGAGACTTGTATTGGCAGTAGTATGTGTGAAGAGTCTTAGTAGACCATACACTGAACATGAGTCAGCAGTGTGAGGCGGTAGCTAAAAGGGCAAATGCCATTTTGGGTTGTATCAACAGAAGTATAGTGTCCAGATCACGTGACATGATGGTATCACTTTGCTCTGGTTAGACCTCACCTAGAGTATTGTGTTCAGTTTGGGGCACCACAATTTAAGAAGGATATAGACAAGCTGGAGCCTGTCCATAGGAGGGCATCGAAGATGGTGAGGGGTCTAGAGACCAAGTCCTATGAGGAAAGGTTGAAGGAGCTGGGTATGTTTAGCCTGGAGAGGATATGGCCAATGGCTAATACAATAAACTTGAAGATGATGATGGAGAGGAGATGACTGAGAGGTGATATGATAACCATCTTCAAGTATTTGAAGGACCGTCTTATAGAGGATAGTACAGAGTTGTTTCCTGTTGCCTCAGAAGGTCGCACCAGAACCAATGGGTGAAATTAAATCAAAAATGTTTTTAGCTAAGCATTAGGAAGAACTTCCTGACAGAGCAGCTCCTCAGTGGAACAGGCTTCCTCAGGAGGTGGAGGGCTCTCCTCCTTTGGAGGTTTTTAAACAGAGGCTAGATGACCATCTAACAACAATGCTGATTCTGTGAACTTAGGCAGATCATGAGAAGGGAGGGCAGGAAGGGTTGCCTCAGTGCTTAGTTCTCGTGGCCCTTTCTTACACACACAGGGAAAAGCTGATCACCACTTTGGGGTCCAGAAGCAATTTTTCTCCAGGCCAGTTTGGCCATGGATACTGGAGGCTTTTGTTGTCATCTTCTGGTCATGGGACTGTTGGGAAATTAGGTAAAAACAAGAGGGGGACCCGCGATACTCGCGGGGGGGAGAAGAGTGGCGGCGGCACCGGCGAGGCCGGTGTCCGCCCCCCGCCCCCCCGG